TTACCTTTGTTTTTGCTGGATTCATTGCTTGAAGGGAAGCCAGAACACCCAATATCACCACTGGTTGGTGTATCTGGGTTTTTTGATGATGAGTAGTTACCATTTTCATTGATCCTCATTCTTTTTGAGTCGCTACCTTGAGTGGATGTTTTTTTCTTGCAAGTGCCAACAATATTTTCAGCCGGCTTCCAAGCAGCATGTTGAGTTAGAATATCCCAAGCATGCTGATCGTGAAAGGTTTTAGACATCAACTTTGTCTTTGTGTTGTCGGCAGCATAGATCTTATATGTTGTCTTCATAACATCCTCATCATTCTCACCACTTCCCCTTCTAGATTGAGCACTAGCAAATGAACCACAAAACTTAGAGCATGAAGCGTTTATCCTTCTCCACCGGTATCTAAGTTGCTCTAAACCTCTAACCTTTAACAAATCTTCTTGTGTAACCCCTTCAGTACCTTCCTCAAAACACTTTTGTTTATATACTCTAACATTATCATACATTTCTTCGATTTTCTTCCAAAAAAACATCCCCGTTCTGGTTGGTATTAGTTTTTTTTATTTTGACTAACCTCAAGCCAAGCTTTCACAAGAGTTACTTCTTCAGCTTTTGACCAAAACCGATTGCCTAGTTGATTACCTTCTTCATTAACTCTATCAGTTTCTTCAACTTCTTCCTCGTCATCACCGTCATCTGATGGTGTGTTCGATCTATATGAACAATCAAAACCCGTAAATGCAGCTTCACCTTGTGACATAGTAAAATGTTGTGACATAGGAAATGTGGATTCATCTTGAGATAACTGAAAATTTTGAAAAGAAGAACAATTTGTAGCTGGAAAATCATCTTGACTAAATGAGATGTTTGGATATTGTGGTGGCCGTTGAGGGAATTGAGTAAAAGTATTTGGATTTGAGAAATTCACATTTCCAGAAACGTAAGTAGAAAATTGTGTTAAATTAGGTTCTAAATCAGAATTCAGATCAATAGGATGATTAGAAAAAGAGGGATGAATATTTGAATTATTTTGAAGTTGTGAAGATTTTTTTGGATTTTGTGGGATTTTTTTTCCTTTGGCATTTTGGGTTATTCATCTCCAAAAATTTTAAATCCACTAACCTTGGATTACCACTTGCTTACTTAAATATGGGAGTAACAATTGGTGAAAAAAAAAGTTGGGTTAAAATACCTCAAAATTATACTCATTTTATAGAGGGGAAAAAATTAGAGTCGTTGGTATAATTATTTTTTAAAAAGAGTTTTTATTTTAAAAGTTATGACCGTTATAGATTTTATAACGTTCATATTTTACTTTAATTGCAGACCATTGGATTCAAAATGACAAAACAAACAAGATGATGCCAAATGTCACTTCCCAACAAATTAATCCAACTTTCTTCCTCCTCCAATTTCCCACGTGAAGCAATGTAAATTGAATAAAAAAAAATAACTATCAACCAATAGCTCTTGGACAAGTGTCACATACATATGCATTGCCCACTCTTCACAAATGGGCATGGCCATGACCTGGTCATACACCATTTCCCTCAAAAACCACTTCATTTTATTATTTTAATATTTTTTGGAAATTCTCTCTCTTCATGACCACCCAAAGAGGGCATTGGATGACTATACTCTAAAAGACTTATTAAGGTTAACACAATGCATAAAAAGACAAGATGAACTTGCTTCATAATTGAATTCATTTTCATGGACTAAAATAAGAACGGTATAAATTGGAAATCGTGTACAATTTTTTCCCATAATATCAATATTTCTCCTGCTAGAATAACAAAATAACTATGTAAATACAAAGTGGTTAACATGTTTTTTTTATTAGACACAATGAAAAAAGTTTAAAGTTCTCTCGCCTAACTGTTAGCAGAGAAAGGAAGAGGTTGATAATGTCGAGATACAATGCCACATCAGCCCATATATACTCATCATAGGTGTATCGCTTGATGAGTTTATCTGTGACATAAACGATGTAGCCACAGAAGATGATGGATGCCACACAACCATAGATCATCACACCAATATTGCCCAATGGAAAGAATACCTGTAATTATAGAATTTAGCATTTTCGGAATGTTGAACAAACAAACATTGGATCTGAAAGTCAATGAATCGTTTCTTTCTCATTCATTAGCTTGCGTATAAATATACAAGGTAGGCGAGATATACTCGGTACTGATTAGCTACCAGTTAGGCAAAGATTATGCTAGGATAAATACAAGCTAAACTAATATATACAAAGTCAAAGAATATATTTCCATATATTCTAACACTCCCCCACAGTCGTGGCGGGAGCATCACGAACGCTAAGACTGGTACGAAAGTCATCAAATAAAATCCGTGGAAGGCCTTTCGTAAAAATATCTGCAATCTGATAACGAGAAGGAATATGTAATACTCGTACCTCGCCCTTAGCGAATTTTTCACGAACAAAATGAATGTCCATCTCAATGTGTTTTGTGCGTTGATGTTGCACCAGATTTCCAGAGAGGTAGATGACACTCACATTGTCACAATAAACAATAGTTGCTTTTTAGATAGGAAAATAGAGCTCAAGCATCAGATTTCTGATCCAACAAGAATCAGATACCACATTAGCAACCCCACGATATTCTGCCTCTGCACTAAACTTAGATAATGTAGGCTGCCGTTTAGAAGACCAGGAAATCAATTATCCCCTAAAAATACACAATAATTTGAAGTAGATCGCCTAGTGTCTGGGCATCCCCCCCAATCCGCATCAGTATAAACAACAAGTTTGTTAATAGAGGACTTATACAGATGCAAACCAAAGGACGAAGTACCCTGTAAGTAGCGTATGATAGGCTTTAAAGCCCCCATGTGCGCATTGCGCGGATCATGCATATGGAGACAGACCTGCTGAACTGCATAAGAAATGTCAGTTCTAGTAAAAGTCAGATACTAAAGAGCACCTGCAAGACTCCTGTACTTAGTAGGATCCTCATATGAATCATCATGAGAAGCACTAGGTTTGGATTTTGTGTCGACAGGTGCTGGACAAGGACTACAGTTAGACATGCCGGCCTTGTCAATGATGGAAGTAGCATATTGGTTCTGAGACAAGAACATACCATTAGCATCACGAATGACAGCAATGCCCAAAAAGAAACTCAAAGGACCTAAATCCTTCATTGCAAATTCGGAGCTCTGAAGACCCATAATCTGTGTCCGGAGACGGTCAGAAGATGTTGTAAGAATGATATCATCAACATATAACAGAATATAAGCAGTATCCGATCCCTGCCTATAAATAAACAGAGAATTATCACATTTACTGTTAGCAAATCCAATAGAGGTGACAAAATCTGCAAACCGTTGATACTAGGCTCGAGGAGCCTGTTTTAGACCATAGAGAGATCCTCGCAATAGACACACATGATTAGGGCGACTTTTGTCGTGAAAACCCATGGGCTGATGCATATAAACTATTTCATTGAGATAACCATGCAGAAAAGCATTCTTGACATCCAAAAACTGATGGATCGACCAAGAGTGTGAAATAGCAATGCTAAGAACAGTACGAATAGTAGCCGGTTTGACAACCGAACTAAAAGTCTCATAACAATCAATACCCTGCTGCTGAGTCTTGCCATCAGCCATAAGACGAGCCTTATACCGCTCAAAAGAACCATCAGAATTCCGTTTATGACGGAATATCCACATAGATAGAATAACATTCACATTAGGGGGCCGAGGTAACAAATACCATGTATGATTATCAATAAGAGCATTATATTCCTCTAACATTGCATTTTTGCAATTAGGGTCACGGATAGCACTAATCGGGTCCTTAGGGATAGGAGAAATGGTAGTAGTGGTAATCGTGTTTAAATTGTGAAAATACTTCGGGTTAGGTTTCACAATGCCATCTTTGGCTCGAGTAGTCATATGGTGGGAAGGTGGGGCCTGGTGGTCGTCGGTGTGGATAAGTGAGGCATGAGTGGTGGTGGAGTGTGAAGGCAGGGATGGGGAGATATGAGCATCACCACTTGAGGTAGTGATTTCTGGGCTGTCGAAAATAGGAGGCTCAAGAATAGGTGTGTGATGAAAAGTGGGCTGCCCATCTTGATTGGAGGGACTTGTGACAGTACGTGGGCTGACCTGGGGAGTTGAGGAAGAAGGCCCATTAGTGGGCTGATCAGAAATTTGCCTATTAGGTGAATTGTTGGGCTGATCTGGGGTCCCTATGGGAGGAGGAGTGGGCTGGGCCTGGGAATGAGGAGGGCTAGGATGATTTGTGCTCAAATGGGGTGGGTGATTTAGCAAATTATTATCCAAAAAATCATAATCGTCAAATTTTGGTTTGTGAATTTGTGAGAACGAAAACACGTTTTCAACAAATCGCACATGCCAACATATGATGATTGTGCCATTTGATAAATTATAGCACTTGTAGCCACGATGACTTGGTGCGGGACCAAGATAGACACAAGGGGTGGACCTTTCTTGCAAGTTTATAGTAGTAGAGGGAAAGAGAGGGTAACAAAGACAACCAAAGACTCATAATTCCGAATAGAGCGGATCACATTGGTATAAAATTTGAGTGGGAGATTTAAAACCTAAGACTTTGATTGGAAGAATGTTTAAGAGATATGTAGCCATAGATAGAGCATGATGCCAAAAAGAATGTGGCAAAGATGCATGAGCAAGAAGGGTCTGAATGATGCTATTTATTGTTTTTATATGTCGTTCAACTTTACCATTTTGATGAGAAGTGTGAGGGCAAGAAAGACGGTAGAGCATGCCATGATTTTCAAAAAATTCTTTTAGAGTACCATTGACATATTCGGTGCCATTATCACATTGAAAGGTCTTAATGTTACGTTCAAATTGTGTTTGGACTATCTTATAAAAAGATGTTTGACTTGGGATTTTTTTGAAATGGGATATGTCCATAAAAATTTGATGTAATCATCAAGAAACAAGAGATAATAACAAGAACTAATAATAGGAGAAGTCCAAAGATCACTATGAATGATATCAAAAGGTAAAGCAGTATGCGACATGGATTTATTGAAAGGCAATTTAACATGTTTCCCTAAAGGACATGATGAACAAAAAGAGTTACAAGTCTTATTACATTCAATAAATTTTTGACTACTTAAAAATCTAAGAACAGCATCCCCAGGGTGTCCTAGTCGATTATGCCAAAGATCGGAAGAAAGAAATGTAAAATTTGAATGTTGGACGGAAGAGTTGGCTTGATTGTATGGAAAGATTGGATATAGGTCACCAGTACTGTCACATCTCATTAGATTGGCCTCCGTCTGTAAATCATTCACAGAAAATCCATAAGGATCAAAAGCAATAGAAACCATAGTCAGTTGTGAATTTTCGGACGGATATCAAATTTTTAATAATTTTAGGAGCATGCAAAACATGGTTAAGGGTAAAGGGAGGGTATGGGGAGGGTAAAGTAGCACTACCATGACCAATAATTAGAACTAAATCACCACTACCAACAACAATGTTTTGATTTTTAATGCTCGAATTTACATAGGAAGAGAGAATACCTTGATCGGCCGTCATATGAGATGTTGCTCCAGTGTCCATATAATAATTGTTGTCCGGAAGGTTGAGATTAGCAAGCATTTGCATCGCAGCTTTGATATGCGTCGGAGAAGGATTCCGACCATTTTCCATAGCACTGTAAGCTTGCGGAGCCGGACCCAATATACCAGGCCCAGTAGGCCATGATCCAGAAGAAGAGGCAGCAGGCCTCGGTGCCCAAGATTGGGATGGATATGGGCAGGGGGGCTGGGCCACTGGGCCTGCTAAGTGCCCACAAAGCTGGCCAGGAACACTGACCTTGCTGAAAAAACCAAGGTTGCCCATTAAATGGGTCGGACTGCTGTTGGGTTGGCCCATTAGAGCGTGGCTTTCCAGTTTGTTTGGAGTTGGACTTCTTTTGCATCCCTCCTTTGTTGTTTTATCTGGAGGAGTTCACAGAGGAGTCCGAATGATACTGGCTGCCGGCGGTGGAAATAAGGGTGGTCGCAGAGGAATTCTTGGACCCCCCCTCCTTAGCAAGACGGTTTTTGATGGTTCGTTCTGCTAATTTCAAGCGAGATCGGCAACTTTCAAAAGAGGGCAATGGTTCTTGATTTTGGATAAAGTCCACCGTACTGGCATATGCTTCGAGAAGGCCAGCCGTCATTTTTAGGATGAGACGGGTATCGGGAATCGGAGCATCAACATCCGCAAGACGATCGGCGAGGGATTTGATGTGATTACAATAGCCGTCAATTGAAGAAAAATTCTCGAAATCAAGGTCAGCAAGTTCTTGTTCGAGATGGGAGGCTCGGGAAGCTTTGTTATCTTGGAACATGGACTCGAGACGAGTCCAGGCACTTTGAGCAGTGTCATCCTTGAGGAGAATGGTAGTGAAAAGATCGGGAGGAATGGAGCCATATATCCAATTAAGGACGGAGGCATCGAGACATTTCCAAAGGGCAAGGTCTACCTTTTATGAGGCTTCATAAGCAAATATGCAATAAGTTCTTCAAAAGGTAATTAAAGAGCGTTCTACCTGAATCAAAAAGAATATGATCAAAAAAATCAAAGCCCTGAACAAGAAAAAACCAAGGAAATTGAATTCGTGGCCTCTCGCTCTTTGCTTCCTAGAATGTGTACGCAGTGAGACTTAGAACCACTACAGTCGTCAAAATCACAGACTCCAAAATAACTTTCCCTGTCCATTTTAAAAGTTTCAGTGAGCTTAAGAGTGCCAAATTAGGCTACTTTCTTGCATCACAATATCACATGCAATAACGGATAACCTATTTAGAATGTAAGTTTGCCATAACCAGAACAAATTGCCTAACAGAATTAGATAAAAAAAAAAAAATAATAAAAAAAATAAAGACTATAACTTTGATGAAACAACAACAAACATAAGTCTGGTAAAAAGATTGTCAGCTAACACATTCAATCATGGTCTTCAGCATTAAACTCTATACCATGGAATCTCCTACGAAATATATTTTTTATGTCATCACTTTGTAAGACCAGAACCACCACAAATGGTATTATCTTTAACCATTTGATCCTTGAGAGTTGAGAATCTCGACTCTAAACACTGTAAACATATAGGAAGTTTTCGCAACCATGAACTTTAAACACAACTAACATAATTAAAGAAGAAAATTAAGAAACTAATAATCCCACTTTTACCTTTTCTTCTCAAAACAATCCCACCTTTTCAAATTACCACAATAATTCCACCTTGTACCGTCATATTCTTAAAACAAGACTTTTTCATTTATTGATCGGTTAATTATATTTTCTTTTTTTAGCAAGTAAATATACTAAATATGGTTGATTGAGCGCCATTAATTCATAAGCTAACCTCTGCTCTTCAATTTTGTTTAAAAGCCCAGCCACCCCCATTCATTACTTTCCATCTTTCTTCCTCCTCTCTGCAATTACCCCCATTGTTCTCAAAGCTTCAAAATTTATCAATGGCAAGTCAACACTCCCATGTCTTATCTTCAAAATCTAAGAAATTAGGGTCCCCTCTTTTCCCTATTTACTGCTATCACGATGAGGTCGCTCCATTGAGGACGGTGAAGCACGGCAGACCCACCCAAGGAAAGCGCTTTTACGATTGTTCTTATACGCCAGTAAAATCCCTCCATTCAATTTTTCATTTAATTTTAATTTGGATTACTATGTTGTTTGATTGGGGAATTAATTAATTTTTTTTTACTAGGAACATAGTACATGCGGATTCTTCAAATGGGTTGATGATATTCGCGAACTGCAATATCAGAATGTTGATAAGAACTCAATTATCATGGAGTTGGAGGACAAAATTGAGCTGCTGAAGGAAAAGGTGAGAAAGTTGAAGGCTAAACAGGAGAAATTGGTTGACCAGGTTGAAGAGATGGGGATGGCCACGACCGAAACCCTCTTTGAGATGAAAGAGAACAACACTGATAAGAAGCTCATGTTGACCTTGATATTCACCTTGGGCATTTTTCACTGTAGTGTTGTTGATGAGGTGCAGGTTGTAGTACTGGGATGTAGTACTAGGCTGCAATGTTAATGGTCACAGTTTGGGGGTTTAATCTGGGTTGGGATTATGTTGTGGGGTGTAGATCTTTTTTTAGGGTCATATGGTGATTATGGGTATGTTAGTAGTTAAGTTGTTGTTAAGGATGGTAATGTTATTGTGTGTAGTAGTATTTTCAGTAATGTAGCAGTAGTAGTACTTTTGTGGGTGTCATGTTTGTAGGTGTTATTCCATTGAGCTGTATTATTTAGGTGCTTATTGTAAATCTTTTAAATTAAATTAAAATGATGATATTTTGAAGTATGTATCTTGAATTGGTTATATTGACAGTTATCATACATTTGCAAACATGTGCATACAAAAATGATTTTCCATGGAAGATGATGAAATGAAATTACTTATCATTAAAAAGAGACAGAGGTTCAATACATAATACTAACAGAGGTTTAATACATTACCAAATTAATATAATTAACATAATTGAAATTGTCATAAGGATTACGGTTGAAAGACCAAAATTAACACCTAACAATCTTAAACTAAGTATAACAATAAGCACAAGCTAATCCTAGTTAATTTGTCCATCATTTTTGCAGAGGTGGAGGCTTGACTGAAATTAAAATAGTATGTTTTTATTGAAGGCACATACATCTGCAGGTGTACTACTTCCTGATGCCTATATATAACACACAACAATTTAGATCAGTAGTAGAAGTACACAGCAATTAAGATTAATAATAACAAAAATGAAGATGAGATCTTACATTGGTGAAAGATGTTCCACCAAGTGTCACAAACACACCCAATCCATGGGTCACAACAGTGCTCCCACCTCTTCCACCCCTTCTCCCACCCCTAGAACCCCTGCCACTAGTTTTCCCTCCCCTGGAACCCCTGCCACTAGTTCTCCCTCCCCTACCAACTGATTCACCACCCCTGCCAGAAGTTCTCCTTCCTCTTACACCTGATTCCTCTCCCCTACTACTAGTTCTCCCTTTCCTTACACTTGATTCACCTCCCTTATTAACAGCTCTTCCTCTATTAGTTCCTCCCCTTACCCCCTTGCTAGCACCACCTCTACTCACAACTCTGCCTCATTTTCCTAGTCTAGAGGGTTCTGCATTAGCTGTGTGGTGAACATTGGTTTGTGAAACTTGTTCTTGTACGATAGGGGTTTTCTTAAGCCTGCCCCTTGGTCTCTTTGTAGAAGTTTTAGTTTATGGGAGGTTAGATTTTCCAAGGTGAGGGCAACTTCTTTTGTTGTGGCCTTTTTCTTTACACAAGGTGCAAGTCATTTCCATGCCATGCTTACAGAGCCTACATACGTGGCTTCTTGGGATCTTCAAAAGGATATTTTCTCCTGATTCTCCTTGGTATTCCTGGCCTAACTTTGATTGGTGGTTGGTCAATGGCAAACTCTGTTTTGGGCCAGTGCCTCTCACCATCTACTTGAGGGATTGAACTTGCATAAGCTTTGGTGTACTGAGATATTGTATAAACTGCATCTACAAAGTCTTTTGCATTTTTGTTTATGAAAAAGATGGCATCCACAACATGACAACAAGTAATGCTAGTGAGATCCCTTTTCTACAGGTGCAATTCCTTAGATTCAAGTCCACTTTCAAGCTATCTAAGTGGTAGTTTACTTGGAAGACAGTGTGTGTAGAAGGGAGTACATCACATTTTGCAGCTTCCTCTTTCTCTTGCATCAATTTCTTAGCAATCCTAGGGCATAATAAGTTAGTGGCCCACTTCATCATTTCATCCCTTTTAATAACAATTCTCTTCAACAGAGCAACCCTGGTGTCTTCCAAAATGTAAATCAAATGCTTTGCCCTAGCATTAATTATGTACCCATTGAATGTCTTAGCCATATTGCTTGTTGTAACATCAGTTTTCTCATCTATTTTCATAAAAGACATGTAAAAACAGCAGGATTGTGTGCTTTAAAAGCTTCTGCAGCAAGTGGGTTGGATTTTATTAAAACCTCTAATGTATCCTTATAGCCTACTTGACTGTAAGACTTTGCACAGGTCCAGAACATCAACTTGAATTCATCTCCCTTGTAGCTCTTATTCTTGTTAGCATAAATGTGCCTAGCACAATGCCTATGCTCAACCTTTGGTAACACCATTGACACACTCCTTAGAATGGACAATACACATAGCAGATACATACAAAGAAAGACTGAAATTAAAATTCATACAAAATAAAATAAAAGCAGCACTAATTCATCACATATGCATAAATTTTGTGTCTAAAAAAAATAAAAAATTAAAATGGTGCATAAGGAAGGCATAGCTGGTGTTCATCAGACAGAATAAAAGTTCCTGCACCATCATCAAGGGAGAGGCCTTTCTTCAAGTTGAGCATGAACCATTCCCATGAATCATTGTTCTCACCTTCCACCACAACCCATGCAATGGGGTACATCTGGTCATTCCCATCTCTACTCACTATTGACATCAACAGCCCCCCAAGAAATGTTTTTAGGAAACATGCATCCACACAGATTAACTTCCTATAACTTGCTTTCTAACCCTTTCTCAGACCATCAAAGCAAATGTAAAGTCTTTGAAAAGTTAGAGGCCCTTTGTTGTTTTGTTTGTATGTGACCAAATCCATATCAGTGCCAAGACAAGTAGCTTTAAGAGCTTCAAGATACCTACCCAGCTTGACATAGTGCTCTGTCATGGAACCATACATCTTCTTGTGAGAATACCACTTCACTTAATATGAAAAATTCATCTTCACTATCACCCTATAGGCTCTCCTCACAGTCTCAATTATTTCCTTAGCTGATGTAGGGAATAAATTTCAAGCGTTAACCCCCTAACTTGAACCCCACTATGATCATACACTAAAGTACGGTGGCGTCCAAAAGGGAAGAAGATAGAGCAAAAGAGTCGCCAACAAGTTTTAGGAACTTGTAAACCGTTCACAGGGTGAAGGTTACACCCCTTAACGATTCAAGAGATCGTCAACTCCATAAGGTCTTGAACCAAATAAGGGTTCGGGGATGAAGGTACAAATCCAACCTAAAAGAGATTGAACCTGCCCTAATAATAGGCCTCTACTTTATTCTGATCGTATTCATGTGCGCTTTTTAATTAACATGCAATCAATAGGTTAAGCCCTAAACCTTTTAATCTATGTTAGTTGAATTTAATGCACAAATAAAACTATTATTGAAGATCACTTGAATTATAATCACATTAACCCTAACAAGATTATTAATTTTCTTATTAAGCGTGATTACAAGTACAAAATTCCCTTTAAACATGCATAAAAGGCGTGATCAAGCAATAACAATAAAACATATCAAGCAACATGATAATAATCATCATCATGAAAATAAATCATAATTGAAATAATCATGATAATAATCATAAAAATAATAATCATCATATTAATAATAATTAAAATAATTATCATAAATAAAATAACCATCATCAAAATAATAATAATAATAATAATATTCATAATCATCATAAATTATAACAATTATAATCATAATCATGTTCATGTTAAAGCATAATAATAGCAAGATCCTAGGCATGATACTAACAAGATTAATAACAAGCCCTAGCATGTCACTAAGCAATAAAAATCAAATCTTTAGCCCTAACATGATACTAACAATCACAAATATAAGGAAGAACATAGGAAGCATCACAGGAATCATATTTAATATTAAAATTACCCTAGACATGATACTAGGAATATCATAATAACAATATAAACATGATCTCTACATCATAATATCAATTAAAACCAATCAAAGTACTTACTTTGATGCCTCATACCTCTTTCTAATAACAAAATACACACGTTAGTAACTTCAAGGAAAATAAATAAACAACACAATTAAATTAAATAATTGAAATAGAGATTTGGGACCAAACCCTCATAATTAAACCTTTCACGTCTAGGGCGAAGGCAACTTCGAATATGGCTAGGTGTTTCTAGATCTAATGAATGCGGAATTTTGTATTTGAAAAGCAAGTTTAGTAAAGAGAGAGATGGATGAATGAATTGATTGATGAATGAGAATTAAAAATTGATTGTCGATGAGAATTGGTGAATGAAAACGGAGTTTTTTATACGTTATTTATAGAGAAAATCATCCAAAAAGATAAAATATCAAAATAGAGCACTTGGCGCACGCAAAACAGAGCTAGCGCCAGAACCAGCTAATTGGCGCCAGGCGCCAATGGCTAGCACTAGGCGCCAATGTATGGCGCCAGGCGCCAATGCCTGGAATCAGGCGCCAGGCCTGTTTTTAATGCGTTTTCGAAAATCAGATAAGTTTGCCGTATTGGAGGATAAAATCGTATCTTTTCCTCAAAAATGTTTTTTGATTTTAATTAAAACTCTGAAAAGTCAACAAAAGTCAATTTATCAATGCTAATTGAATTAGGAATGAAAAGAACCTTCTAGAAGAATCTAGAAGAATAAAACCATTCCTAATTGAATTAGGAATGATAAATCATATTAGGCCCTGCTCTAGATCATTGGGCCCACATAAGGCTCAAACCGGGCCCAGTTTAGTAAATTGGCCATAACTTCCTCAATATTCATCGGAATTGGGCTTATAATATATCGTTGGAAAGCTCTTGTCAAGCCCCATCCAATTAAACTAGTATTGGACCCATATCATGGACAAACCAAACTGGATTGGCTGTTTTCTTAAAATAAGTTTTCAAAAACAGAGAGAAGAGAAAAGAAATTAAAACTATCCGCAACACTAGACTTTCCACACTTTCGCTTTATTCGATTATGATTCGACGCGAAAGGTACTCATCACCGGGTTTGGTTTTGGGGAGACACAAATGGGTGTCTACAGAAGCCCCCACTTTGACTGAGTTTGGAGAAACGCAAGTTTCGAAAACAAAAGTCAAAGTATCGATAGGGACGGAGAATGACTCAGAACGTTTTGCGATCCTAAATCACTCTTGCAACGCCGATACCTGCAAAACTAGCATTAGTTAAATAGATAAAAGAGTTAAGAAACGCGTATCTTGCACCGTCGAGTACACGTCTCTGAAAGTAACCGATTTGATGTCGCTTTACTGTTTTGATGACCTCCTGCAAGCTAGAGAATGCCATCCCGCTTGAAAACCGCTATGCCCGTAACTGCTTCCAAATTGGAAGATTGCTTCGCCTGAAACGATCCTCCTCCGCATTGATAATATTCCACGTCCAAGGGGAATACTATCGAAGATTGCTTCTCTTGACACAATCTTTAGTTGTTTGTGACAACACTCCACAATCTAGGGAACGCCACCTTGCTGTTTCGATGTTCAGTCGTCTCTGAACAAAGAGATTCCCTTTTTTT